GGGCGCACGCACATGGACGATGAGAGGACGCGGCCTGGGAGGTGGGGACCGAGTGAGTTTGGTCTCCTGAGCTACAAGGAGGCCGGCAATGGATGAAGCAGGAAGTTCCCGCCACATCCTTTCACCCTGGGGACTTTGACCTGCCACACACCCGCTCCCTGCTGGCTCTGGGCCTTCTGGACAAGGCCTCCCCAAGCTGCCGTGATTCTCCCACGTGTCAGCTAAAAACGAACTACACAGTCCGCTTTTTAGCTAACTCCTAATAAATACTCCAGTTGATGATGCACTCCAAACGAAGCCGAGGGTGACGACCGCGTGCAACAAAATTGGCTGTCGGCTAACAATCGATGAGAAAGTAAACTCTTTTGCCCAAATTTACATCCGCAGGGGTAATGTTTGGACAAGGCACCGTGGCGCTTTGCAGACATGCGGCCCCATGAGAATACACGTAACAGCAGCTTTAAAAGATACCAACTAATGGATGAATCAAATGCCCATTGAAAAACTGTCTTAATAATTACATGTAATGAAGTTCACTCAGCAGAATTCTTTATGCTGAAGCTCCCTGATGTCGGTCTGATTTTGCTTAGTGACTACACTCTCGGTGGCCAAACGGCAGGGTCAGGAACGCCTCTAGCTTGGGGTTCGTGGGGGAAGGCGAGGCAAAGAGGGACCGGCCTGTCAGTTGTCACATATCTTTGGTGCCCTGATGCCAGCCGCCCTCAGCAGGTGCACAGGACTGGGAAGAGGCTCCCGCTAACCCAGCTCATGAAGGATCCTGCTGCCCTCTCCGGGCCTTGGGCTCTTCATCAGTGGGACCGGGTCTAATTTCCTGCAGGCTGGGCAACTAGCTATCAGCCCTCCCTCCGTGCCCATGCCTGTGCCTTCTCCTCTGCCCTCAGTCCTGGTGGGCTTATAGCTCTTCCATCCGTATTTATATTTGTTCTTGAGTATATCTGGGGAATGCTCCCACTTGTTCAGTAGATTTGCCGTTTCAGCTAAGTTATCAAATCAATTGATGTGAGGTTGTTCCTAATAAACTCTTGTTATCTTTCTAACGTTTGAAGAATTTGTAGGAATGTACTGTCTTTCATTCCTGACATTGGTAATTTCTTTCTTAGCCCTAATGAGTCTCCTTAGATTGTATTCAATTTACCTAAAGAATCAGCTTTTAATTGTATTGGTTTTTTTCTCATGCTTATACACTGCATTTCAATGATTCGTACTCTTATCATTACTTCATTCTTTCTACCTATTTGGGGTTTAAATTTGTTGTCTTTTTCTAGCCTTTTAAGGTGGAAACTAAAATTTTTGTCTTTTCTAACAT